CTATTGATGATTTTCCAATGGTTTCGAAGTCCGCTAACAAGATGAACAGAATCAGAGCCACCAAAGTTTGCAAAACTTGCTCCCCGGACAGGCCTCACCGGTCCTCGCCAAGGAGTGGGTTGAGGGCAGCGACCAGATTGCGAGACTTCACAAGCGCGACGACTCCGACATCTGGGGCGGCTGGAAGCGCCACGTCTTCCGCATGGTTCCTATTCTCACCATCCTCGCTACCGGAATGTACCTCGTCTACCTCGCTCTTCGTATCTACTGCGTCATCTCTGCCCAGCAACTCGCCAAGGAAATCTATGCTCAGGCTTGGGTCTTCATCGCCGTCGAAATTACTGTTGCCATTCCCTCAATTATGCACAACATCTGGACCATGTGGTCCATGAAGAAGCGTCAGCGCCCTAAGTTGAGACTTATGGGCGAGGATGTTCCCACCGTCGATGTTCTGCTCACTTGCTGCGGTGAAGAGGATGATTTGGTTCTTGACACCGCCCGCGCTGCCTGCGACGTCGACTACCCCCGCGACCGGTTCCGCGTCATTATCTGCGATGACGGCAAATCCGAGGGCCTGGAGAGCGGTATCGCAGCCTTGGCCATGACTTACCCCAATGTTCACTACCTCTGCCGCCCCAAGTACCCCGGTGTGCCTCACCATTTCAAGGCCGGTAACCTGAACTACGCCCTCGATTTTGTTCACACGATGCCCGGCGGCGCTGGTCAGTTTATGGCTGCTCTCGACGCTGATATGGTACGTTCAAACCAGCCACAGCTCACTATACCATTCAATGATGACCCCGTCTCCCGCGATTTTAAGGTTTCGCCCAATGTTCAACCTCAGCTAACTCTGAACCTGCAGATCCCCGAGCGCGACTGGCTCCGTGCCATTCTGCCTCACATGCTCATTGACCCCAAGGTGGCCCTCGCCTGCCCCCCGCAGCTGTTCTACAACACCCCGCCATCCGATCCTCTCGCCCAGTCCCTGGACTTCTTCGTTCACGTCATTGAGCCCATCAAGGACGCCCTCGGCGTGGCCTGGTGCACCGGTTCCGGCTACTGCGTACGTCGTGAGGCTCTTGATGAGATAGGAAACTTCCCCCTCGGCTCCTTGGCTGAGGATGTTGCTACTTCTACTTTGATGCTTGGAAAAGGCTGGAAGACGGCCTACATCCACGAGCCTCTCCAGTTTGGCACCGTCCCCGAGGATTATGGCGGCCATCTCAAGCAGCGTACCCGCTGGGCCATTGGTACCGTCGACACGTCGTTCAAGCTCAACTTCTGCTTGTACGGTGAGAAGGTCAAGCAGATGACGGTCGCGCAGCGTTTTTCCGGCTTCCTCTACGCTACACTCAGTCTGTACACGATTCTCCTGACCCTCTCCATGTTCGCCATCCCAATCATCCTGGTCATGGGCAAGCCCCTGGTCGCCTACGCCAACTATGAGCAGCTCCGCTGGCTCATCCGCGCCTGTTTTGCCGCCACGCTCACCAACCGTTTGTGCGAGTTTGCTCTCTTCATCCCCGCGGGCTACCACACCGGCCAGCGCGGTTCTCGTTACCAGCTTTGGATGTCTCCGTACATCGCGCTTTGCATCATCCGCTCATTCATCCTCCCCACCTGGCTCGGTGGTCAGACACAGGCCTTCAAGCCCACCGGATCCCTCGGCTCCGCCCTCAATGAGCGCGACCCCAAGACCCGCAAGGGCATGTTCCGCCGCCTTTGGGGTATCCTCTTCAACTACATGGCAATCTTCCACCTGGCTTTCGTCTACCTCACCCTTGTCGGCGTGGTTCTCACCTCGTACCGCTGCTTCTACGTCAACGATGAGCTCCGCGATATCCTGATGTGCCTCATCACCCACGCCTTCTGGCCGCCCCTGACTTTCATCTTCATCTGCAGCTCGCTCTGGACGCCTATCGCCTACGCCATTGACCCGCCGAACATGCCGGACCGCGAGCAGCTCCTCGAGCGCGACCCCAAGACCTTTGTCGCCCACCCGACACCTCAGAGCAAGAAGATTGCCTTTGGCGGCCAGGCTGCGTGGTTCGAGACCGAGTTGACCGTCACCTCGGCCTACACGATCCTCGTCTTCGTCCTCTCCTTCATCTACTAGATTGCTTCAAACCAACTCATAGCATCGTTGTTTTATCACACACACATAACGCGCGGGACAGGCGGCGCCTACGGGACGCGCTTAACATTTGCACACGGCACAATGTGCGCGTATCACAGACGTACAAAACCAAAGATGACTGTTACGATAATGTAATGCCTGTAACTACTGCACATAGATCAGTATAGAATTACGCAACAATAAGGGGGGCGCGGAATATGTCATCATCATCATCATCACTCCCTGCTGGAAGGGAAATCAGGGTCAACAAACATTATACATATTTCTCATCATGTTCGAAATCAGAATACATAAAAACATTCATAAAAAGCTTCTCCACAAGTTCCAAATGCCTCAAAAAACTATAGAATGCGTAAACCAAATTCGGACTCTTGGCATGATCAGCCATTGGTTTCAGAGGCGCTACTCTTTTTCCCGCGCGAAGGAGAAACATCCCTCGGGAAAAACACACAAGTGTCCAGTTTTCCAATGAATTGGTCCGAGCTATCAAAAGCCTACATACACTATACAGTCTGGCTGCATGTGTGCAAACTTGTGCCTGAGCTTGTCCAGCTTTGCCTACGTGTGGCGTGCGGGAAGGCTGGCTGCTAAGACAAGCTGCCACTAGCCGAGCCTCTCATTCGTCATGGACACCAGTTCGTCGTCGTGCTAAAAGCCCGCGCCTCGTTGAATGTCTCGCTGAAGTCGCTGCGAATGTGCCCTCAGTTGGTGCTAGTCTGCACTCAGGAATGCGGACAAAACGCCGAATCGACTCAATGGCACGGTGAGGTGCCAATTTGCACAATGGTGGCTCAGCACAGCCCGTTTCCCTTTCCTTCTGTCATCGATTATCTCGCCGATGTTTCTCTTTGCAGCGGTTGTCGCGCAAGAAGCATCACAATGGGATTGGTATGGTCACATCAGGTTGCCATGCTACGAGTCACTTATCCAGGAAACGACCAGCCACCTGCAGACCGTTACTGTGTATCACGAAAAGAAAAACAGGCTTGGCTGATGTCGTTCTATGATCTGCCCGGCTGTCATGCCGTGTAATGGTTGCACCGTATCCGTATCGCTTGTTGCAGTAACAACCGCGGCTCCCATCCGGACGCGAAAAGCCACTCGCCAACATCGGATTCGGACCTCCCCCTCTCTATGCAGACTCTAACAGACTTGCAGTTCGAATCCCGACTCCCAAGCTCCCGAGCCTCCCTCCCTTCCTCTCCCTTATCACACTACAGGCTTACGTTCGGCTTTGCCGTGCAGTGGGCAGCCGGGTGCCAGGTGGGGTTCTCCCCCAGCAGTGCAACCCCTCCCCCGGTGCCCGGCACCGCTCCGCGGGCATGAGTATTGGATAATGAGACTCAGAGAGTGTGGAAAAGAAACAACACGGTGCAGATTGCAGAATGAGCTGACAGCCTGGCATTCCATTCCCCATCTGCCGCTCTCGCTGTTCAATTTAATTGAAATAATCCTCCACGTCCCCCTCTCCGACTACCCCCAGTCCACGTCGTCCTCGGTCCTACGACGCAACGTGTGCACCCAGGTGTCAAGTATCCGTCACCCTCTGCTTTGTCCGACCGACTCCTCCTTTCATCTTCCACAAGACCTCCGCTGCGTTTCTGCTGTGCCTGCCCAACCGAGTCAACCGGCTGCAGCTCTTGGGACTTTGGACTCTGCGAGTCTCGGAAAGGCCATGTCAGGATTGTCGCCAAGACACAAGTGCCAAGTATTTTCAGACGAACGACGGCCAAGGAAATTGACTTTTGCTAGACCGCAAAGAGGCACCCACCAAGCCTGATGTTGCCCGCCAACGGCGCCAAGGGGGTGTGAGAGGAGAAGAGCCCGCCTGGCGCCACCCCTGAATCGTTAAGGTTTTCCAGGGGCCTGCATCCAGGTTTTTCGTCCGTCAAGTCTTCGATTTGCAGTTGCCAGTTGCCACTGCGTCCAGCCATTGCTGGCTTTGCGTTTATCTGCATACGGGCAATGGCGTGTGCCTACTACAGGGAAACCTACCATCGCGCTGCAGCTCTCGGTGAACTTGCGAGCCTTCGGTTTGGATCTTTCGGAAATGGAAAAACGAGAATAATCTATTTTTAGGCTAGTGAGTAGCTAGACTGATCGTACGGACTAGATGTGCTCGTCGCACCACGCGGGCAACCACCCCCGGATCAACGACTGGCGGTGATAACGCCCCAACCACTCTGTCGATCACATGCCACCCGACTCCTCACATCTCAGCCAACCGTTGCTGACGAGATTGCTTTTATCAACGCTCGTCTCATCCAGAGTGGCAGCAGATGAGCTTATCCAGAAGCAAAATCTCACCGACTGAACAGTTTGCCGATCTCTGGAGCCGCAATCATAAATCCCCGTCCTGCTCGTCCACGCGTTCATTGGGGCGGAGACCCGTGAGACTTTCGCCATCGTGCCGATCCGGCAACGTCGGACCCCGGACGCCGGGGCAACGATTCTCTCCGGAGCAACGACGATCCAAAGTTGAAGTCTCCGTTACGGCAGCCCACGTTGCAGCCGCAGGCGGGTTGTGGGGAGACGTGCGGATAACATTCATTCAGTGCCCCGCAATGAAGATGCTCAGGTTGAATAATTGAGGTCGTGTGGGCATTTCAGAGATGAATATATGTGACTTTTCCGCATGTTTACTACCGCCTGTATATCACCCGCTTTTTAATGAGAATCGGTGACTTGAAAGCTCCATGCCAATACTGCGATGCCTCCTACGCCTACGGCTTTGTTTGATCTAGCTGAGTACACACATCAGGCGTGCTCGTTATCAGATGACTGGATTCATGAGTTCCGATACAATATACGTCGAAGTCAAGTATGAATTCTACCAACAAGTTGGCATTCGTATATATACATTTCAAGGTGTTTGCGCTGTCGATGACGGAATTTCCGCCGTTGCCGCTCCTGTCAAAGCCGGAGCGACATGTCCCACGTTCTCATCAAAGCCCCAAAAGGAAAGATCAATCGGCGGGACTGTACTATTCGCCGCACCAAATCCGTTCATTCTTGAATCGGGTCCAAAGAGTCCTGTCAACCCCGCTAGATGGGCCTGTGGTACCCAAAAGTTTGATGCTGGTTGGGCAGCTAAAGAATTTGTGGTCGGCCCTCCATCGAAGACCGGCATGTTTCGAGCTGCATCTTCCAATATTGTCAAAACTTGCGACTGAATACCAGTCGAGCTGTCCTGCTGCTCTAAACCTGAAAGATTTGCTTGCTGAGGTACAGTACTTGGTCTTCGATATGATCCGTCGGTCTGTGATTCCAAACCAATGCCGCTGTCAGTAGGAGTCGTTAATCCTCTGACGGGTTGAGAGTTGCCAGGGTGGCTTTGATGATGTGAATGTCGTGCGCTTGCTATTGGTCGCATAGTTGTTCGATTTGAGATCCACTCTTGTTGCATGGCATAGATAGCCTCGTTGACTACCCTGCGGAAATTTTGTGACTCCTCCTCGGTTGTGAGATGCCAAAGAAACCCGGCGGTCTCTAGTGAATCTTGCACAACTTGAGCAGCATTGTAGTTCAAATGCTCTTGGAAAGCTGATAGTTCTTCGCACATATCGGGATTCATGTACGCTGAGCGTGGTTTTGTCTTTCCAGGGAATAGAATGTCCCAAATTGCGAACCACTGATTCTCATCCGTCTGCCCAGGAGCCGACTTTCTGTGTAAGTTTCTGCTTTGTTCATGAGAAATTCCGTCCAGCGCCCCTGTTTCGTTGAGAAGGCAGGTCCACCCTTCTGGATTCGATACGTGGCCTCGAAGACTATCTTCGTTGGCAAAGATCTCGAAGCAGCGTTGGCAGTAGTGCTCAGGAGTATGACTCCTCTTAAGATGCTGTTTAACGTCCCGTACCCTTGTGAGCTTTTTGGTGACGCAAACATGATATTTGTCGGTATTGAATTTCCAGAAGGGGCATGCTAATGTGAGCTGCTGCTTTTTAGCCTCCTGCGCTGATCCCGATGATTTAGCTGGCTCTCTGCCCGATTTGAGCTCAGTTTCAGGTTTGCGCTTTCTATTAACTGGAAGTTGAGGATTCGAAGGTCCTTTCGCCTCTTTTGTTTGGTCAAGCGCTGATGCCGAGGAAGAGGCACCATTGGAAGACGTCTCTCCTCGATGCTGAGTCTGAAGTCGATAGTCTCGGAGCAGGGTACGAGCAATGGCCTGGATCAGTGGCAAAATTGGATGGTCTTCGTACAAAGGCTGGAAGTCGATATCATCCGACTCATCTGATACTGACAGAAGATCCGTGTCCAAGGAATCTGCAGATTCAGCAGCTGCGGAATCGGCAGCTCCATCACCACCACCATTATGGAGATCAATCAAACCACTTTTGCAGTGTTCAGACTTGCTTTGATTTCCATATGTATTTGAATGCCAGGGCGACAACTCGATGGTGTCCATAATTTGAACAGATGGCGTTGAGGAGTTGACGTCTACAGCTGGTCCTTTTGATTTTCCTCCCGAAGAGGAGAATCCAGATGGTGTCTCTGGCCACGTTGAGTCTCCGATTTGGGTGATGATATGCCGACCAGTTTGATATCGCACCAGCTCCGTGACTTGTGTTGCATCGTATCCTATCATCAATCTTGCGTTTTTGCCTGTGGCGACCTCGGACCAAAGGGAAATATTCTGGGTTTGTTTGGCGAGAGCAATGGCTTTTCGCCAACCGCTGAGGACTATTTGCCCCCCATGGGATGTGTGAAAACTGTAAGGATTTCCTATTAGCTTTTGAACCATGTTCCATGGAATCTCCATCCCAGGAAACTCTTTCGGGCGACGAAGGATGGGAAATCCTCGAATAGCTACGAAATCCTGTCCTAGGATTCCTGCCAATGACCGCTCTTGCGGCGGCAACGACTGAAGCGGCTCTTCCTCTAGAACGATGTCGAAACAGAAGATGGTTTCGTCCGATCCTATCTCTCTCTGTCGAGTGATTGTTGGTCTGCGATAAGCAGCGCGGCTATTGTGTGCAACAGCGGCTGAGAGCCACGCAAGTTGCTCGCCATACTCAGCTATGAAGTAGGGATACCCTTCAACTGTAACCGTAAGGTGTCCATCTTCTACCGAAGCTAGGAGATTAGGATGACCTGGTGGACCAACTTTGACAACTTAGCGACCATCCTGTTTGATAATAGTCACAACCTACTTACCGACTTGGTGCCTATTATCCAAAACCCGTGTTTCCCCAACGTCTGCACAAAATTGGAGTAAATCAAAGGCCTGCTTCCAACTTGATGGCCATGTCTGATCCATGTAGTCTCTTATGGTCACCACCTGACTCTTATCTGCACAACATACGACAACCACAGATTCAAGCGTGACTTGTCTCAAAGGTTTTGTCTTGTCGTTGTGCTGAAGATGTTGTTTGTCACTTCCTATGCCGAGTAGCGGCCAGTCAAGAAGCTGAAACTTGATCTTTTGAATCTCTGACGTGTGCCTTTCGTCGATCTCCAATGCGAAGAGATCCATAACTTTTCGCTGGATCTCCTCCTGCACGCAGATTCCTAGATCATTGTCATCCCACCACAGCGAGGCTTGTCTTTCCAAATGCTTTAATAACCAATGGAAGGCCCGACTTTCTAGTATCGCTTCATATTCGATTTGTCTTGTGGAAGATTCAATGCGATCTCGTGTGTCTTCCTTGAGCTGTGTGTACTGTGGAGATGGTGTGCAATTGGGATTCTTTTGGTCCTCCCAGAGACTCATCTTATCCTCCACAGACATATCATGAAGATTTCCCTTGGTGCCATCGGTTTCCTTACTTTTGACGTGGTTGTCAAAAAATGACATCATACTCTGAAGGTGAATAAAAAGCTCTCTATTTGATGAATCGTTATTGACTACTCTCTTGAGTACCTATAACTGACAGTGCTATGGAAGTTTTGAGCATCACTTACCCACTGTTCTTATGAATGACTTGCCAGGTATTGTGACTGATATCATTTGAGGACTCATAGCCAAGGCGGATCGTAAAGGCTCGAATCACACTGGAAAATGACGAGTTCCAAGATCGCGATACTCCAGCGTCAGAAAGATGGCGTAGTCTTCTCTGCATCTCGCTAGCCAGCCCAACGATGTACTGCTGCTCGGATTCGACTTCAGCAGCGCTGGCTTCCGGGATAGAAACCAGCATGTTACCTTTCCTTCTGCTAGTGTGGAGATCTTCCGTGGCATTCAGTTCCGTTTGGTCTGAGAAGACTGCAGGCCAGTAAGTAGACGCATATCCAGGGTTCTCATTGCTCTCCTGAGTGGCGAGTGGGAGCTCGATTATTCCATCCACTGGCAAGGGGACTTGGTCGGGACGACTGCACAAATCAAACGGGTAGGCGTCGAAATCCAGAAAATGGTTATCGAATGAAAGGTCGGGTATTGTTGCTTGATTAAAATAGATGTTTCTGATAGGACTAAACCTAGGTGCTTTTGAGAAGACGCTGTCCTCAAAGACAAAAGGTTCGGGTGCCCGGCTGGAATATGTGTTGGAAGGATTACGGTATACATTGTTTTCTGGCGAAATCGAACTACTAGAAGCAGCCGAGAGTGTGGCCGTAAGTGAAGGGGGTCCGTCACTTTCTTCGGAAGTTTCGATAAATTCCTCCCTCTGCATCTCTTCAATTATATGTGTGCGTGGTCCATCTATATAACTGGCTTGCAGAGAGAATTGATCACAGTCGCAACTGTGATCATCCTTTCTACAGGTACCGTGAAAATGGTCCATTATCTCGCGACCGGTAGAATGAGAAATGAATCTAATCTGAGTCGAGATATCTGGCAATAAGATAGACGAAGAGAGCAGAGGAAGGCATTTGGGTAAAGGAGGAGCGAAACAGAAATGCACAGATCACTCGCACCCATCGACCAGGCGTGAATTGAAATGGAATTCAAGGAAGAGAAACGGGACAGAGATTCGGCAGAAATCAGGAACATGCCAAAATCCCTCAGCATGGTCGGGTGAGGCTGCAGTAGGAACAAGGCACAGCTGTGCTTTTGCCTCCTATTCGCCAGGGTGACAGGGGTGCTTGCCAAGCGGACTACCAAATCAGGCGACCAATGACTTGTAAAGGCACTTCCGTGGTGTATTGCTCCCCGTTGCGTCCCGTGCTAATCGAGCTAAATCTTATCATGCTTGTAATGTGTAACTTTGACGTTGTGTGCTATTGAGTTGACATGGCTTCTAGATACCAATAGCACCACTTGTCTGTGAACAACTGATGTTAATTAAATCTATGAGACGTGAATATGCCCATCCAGCGCCAAGTATGTTAGCAGGCATAATTCAGAAGCAATAAAAAAAGAGCCCTCAAAACATGTTTCAATAACCAGCAAGAATTTGGCAAGCGTACCATCAAGCTATTGTGGTCTTTACGATTATACAGATGCTCTCAAGTCAGAACGCTAGGAAATTATACCAAAGCCGCACTTTTCAGTCCACAACAGCGTTCGAGAAATGGACCAGTCTAGATCTACAACCTCCAGTTCTACAGTCAAAAGGTAGGGGAGGATTTGTTGGCAACGAAACTTGGACTGAGCTAACATGATACATTGCTGGTAGTGCTGGAGACACATCCCCCATGCTTCAAGACTATCTTGGAAACTCGCGGACCATCACAGAGAAGCTTTATAGTAGCTCTAAGAGAGGCGGCAAAACTACAAAGAATGTTCAGGTGAAAAAGATAAAGGCGTATCTTGGCGATTGGCAAGACTCCTGGGACAAGATGGCTACGTCGAAGAAGTGATGTAGTTTGTGGGGGTTGTACACTGCTATTTGTGAAAGAGGCTTACCCAGTGCAGGTGCTTTAACGGAAGGCTGAGAGACTCAAGCTGTCGTTTTCTTCCCAACAGCATACGCACCATATCAACCAGAAGCTCATAGAAAAGATTTCAAGCTGATTGTTGTCGTGGGACATTGCGAATTACTAGTATCGCACTCGCTATAGTCCACGGTTTGGATCGAGTCAAACTTCGCCTTGTCATAGTCGCAAATACCAATTGATTGCGTGACTTACCTACTCCCATCTATCACATTGCTTACACATGATGACCTCACCTCCCTTCTAACGACATCGAGTTCGCGGTAGCTCACATTGGGACGCAAGATCGTCAGGGCCCTTTCCCCGATTTGCTTGCAATCTGTGGGGTAAACAGGCCCGATCGATGATGACCCGATGACATCTCGAACGCCAGTCCGAGCGCCGGTTCATCTCCCTTACCCCTTGATCAGATGGGGGAGCCCTCAACGCCAAAGATCGATGACCGCAGTCTTCCCAAAAATCAAAGGGCAATCAAGAGGGAGGAAGGTGCAAGGAAAGATAGATCAAGATACACCATAGGAAAAAAGGTGCGGTTCATCCCGATTCCAGACATCCCGTTTAGACTTCATACCAACCACCCCATACCAAAGCGCCTTAGCTCAACCGTTACATATTTCAACGCCCTACCTTACCCCATAGATCGTCGAAACCGTGGCTTTTTCCTCTCTAACCCAGAGTAGACCAAAAAATTACCAGTGCGGGACATTTCTTATTTCACGCCCGAATAAAGGCATCATAGATGTTTACGCCAGTGATGTCACCAATCACCGCGTCATTGGGGGCCTCTGCTCGTTCTCCCTCGCAGCATCCACGAGAAATTCAACAAAACCTTTGCAATCTGCTCCATCTTTGGTGTTCAATTTGGCTTACAAAACAGAGAGAGACACTCTACGACAATAGACCAATTTTAGCACCGGGCGAGACTCAAGCACCACGACTTCCGTCCTTCACGCACCACCTTAGCCACAGCCGGACCACCACCTCGAGCTCCCTCCCACCCAACCATCAACATGAAGAAACCCGAAATCACCGAAACCAAAACCACAACAAACTCCAAAGACGAACACTGGAAAACCCAAGCCCCCTACATCGCCCCAGGGAAATCCCACCCCCACGGCGAAGCCTTCCACAAGAAAATTCGTGGCGCCTGCCAATGCGGCCAAGTAACCTACTGGCTTTCAAAAGATGAGCCCCTAGCATCAAAGTTCTGCCACTGCAGAGATTGCCAAAAGATGCACGGCGCGCCCTTCCAATGGGCCGCCATCTTCCATAAAGAAGACCTGGCGTTCGATAACGGGGTCGATGGGTTGACGTTCTACTCGTCGGGGAAGAATTTGCAGGGCCACGATTTGCCATGTAAAGTGAGCTGCGGGTTCTGCGGGAGTCGAATCATGGATGAGGGCAGGAACATGGTATTGTTGTTCCCTGGGCTGTTGCATTTTGATGGGGAAGAGAAGAGGAAGAAGTTTGATGTTCAGTGAGTACCTCCTTCGTTGTCAAGGTGAACGCTTGGCTGAAAGCCGTAATGCTAATCGCTGAGTAGGAAGCACATCTTTTACGGGCAGAGGGTCGTTGATCTTCCCGATGGAAAGCCCAAGTGGAGCGGCCTAGATGAGAAGAGCGAGCTAATGGAGGAAGAGGTTGTACATGTGAAGCACAAGAAGCGGAAGACGGAGCATACCAATGGCGACTAATATGTCGAGCCTCTAGATGAAATGTATTTGTGTAATATGTAAATTAGTAAATCCAAACGCTTGACGCCATCTTATGCTCGTGATAATGCTCTATATCCAAAATAACAATCTAAATCGTCTCAAGATCCCTCATCGCTTACCAGTTGAAGCTTTCTTGGAAGTATTCGATTCTAGACCACCCACGGCCAAGCATTTCAACAACTGACTTTCGAGCATCGTCGGCCATAACAGCAGGCCCACACGCAATGACGGCAAGACTCGCCTTATCAGCTGCGGTGGCCGCGTCCTGTACCTCTTCACGAACTTCGGGACGCCCGTGAAGTAAACGAACCTGCTCCGGCCACTCCTCTGGCCGCGCAGCATTCGATGCGAGACTGTGTTGTGTAACATAAATATCGACCGACAACTTCCCACAATCAAAGGCGTCTTCAAAGTCATGGCGTAGCACATCCACCGCGAAGCTCAGTTCGCGGACTGCCCAGACGATCTTAATCGACCGAGTCTTTGAAGATGCCTTGGTAAGCTCTGCGAGGTGGGCGAGCGGCACCACAATACCACTGCCTCCAACGATGAAAAGGAGGTCATCGAACTGGTTGAAGGGCTGCTTGTGACCGTAGGGACCTTCCACGAGGACGCGGAGGCGTGCAGGGCGGGGCCACTGCGCTGCTGCATCCTCACGCAGGCGACCGGTGAAGCTGTCGTACGGGCGGATGAGGAACGTCATTGATGGCTCGCCCCTCCTGGGCTCGTACCCAACCTCAGAGATAGGTTCTATATCATGCTCTCCCGCTACAAGTAGGGGAGTCTGCTCGCTAGATGACTTTCTTCTAACGTTCATGTTTGTCGTTGTGCAGGCCATTGTGAATGGGTGGCTTTCCCAGAATCGCTTGTCGCTGAGGACATGGAGGTAGTAGTAGGTGCCAGCCTTTGGTTCGTAGAAGCTAGTCGAGTATGGGACGTTGATGCGGACAATGTTCGAGTTCGCGTCATACGTGGCGAGGGCAAAGGTATTCCAGAACTTGAGGTTGAAGGACAGCGTCCGCGACATCCGTAGAATACGATCGCCAATCCAGATGAGGCAGGGTACCCAGAAGAGAATGTCAAACTGCCCAAGGAAGATGGAGACGTGGCTAGAGTTCATGAGTACTGGGAAGTCAAGAGAGAAGAATGTCGAAACTTACCCAAGCATGGTGATGAGGACAAGAATCGACAGTAAAATGTGAAGAATGAGGAAGAGCTCGTATTGCTTTCGTCGCATCCAAAAGACGGAGGCAAAGAGCAAGGCGCACATGCCAACGGTAGCCTTTGGTTTGAGGTCAGCATATGCTACTGAAAGCCCAAGAGGGCATCACTCACAAACCATCCTTCAATCCACCACATCTGGTGCCAATACGACATCCAGTAATCCCAATCGCCGTCTGAGACAAGTTAGCTTTGAACTTCGTAAGAGGTGGTGTGCGTCATACCATCAAAGACCAGAACAACGTAGCCGACGGAGTGGATGACAGCTTGGAGCGTCGAGACGCGGGCAACCCAACGGTGGAAGTTGTTGTACGTCCCGAAGTCCCAGCCGGTCAGCCACATGAGAAGGTTGTTCCTCATGCCAAATAGCCAGATGATGGGGAAGTTGGCGAAAGAGATGATGCCGGTTCTATCGGCTACATAGCGCCAGACCAAATGGTATTTCTGCGGCCAACTAGGGGGGCGTGAGCTAGTGAGGTAAGGCGAAGAGTAGAGCAAGCTACACTTACTACATGTGACCGGAGAAGATCCAGTACCCGTGCACACAGAAGAAGACGTTCGCGGCAATGAAGGTGAAGATGGTGAGACTCTGGATGCGTGGCGGAATGGTGCACCAGCCGAGATTCTGAGAGCAGCGGTAGCCGAAGGTGGCGGGGACGGTGATGTATCGCTTGAGCCAGAGGGCGGACCAGTGAAGGATGCTGGACGACTTTCGTGAATCCCATTCCTGCTTTTGAAGGTTTCCGATGGCCGACACGAGGCGAGATCCCAGCCCGATGGCGACAACGATGAACCAGAAGACAATCACATAGAACCTGGGTATGAGAAATTAGCGACCGCCACCCAAGCATAGACGAAAGCGAGGGCACGTACCCATATCTGTAGTGATTACCGTATGTGTACTCGACGGATTCCTATGTGTTGTCAGTCCTTGAGTTCCAGTTCGGGGAAATACTTGGGTCCCATACGAGAGAGTCGAACCAGATCTGATAATAAACGTCCGCAGGCAACACCACCTCATTCAGCACAGTCGACGAGTTGGACCCTTCCGCTTTAGTCAACCTCCGCAAGCCAGCAATGTCCTCATCAGAATAACCAGCGACGATCTCAAAGGGCGGTAGCGAGGTGTTCATGTAGGCCTGGCACGTGTGGTTGACATTGCTCAAGCCAGCGACACGGTGCGTCAAGTCGCAGTGCAGGTCGGCGCAGAGGTAGAGCGACTTGATGTGCAGCTGGCTCACGCACTGCGGGATCAGCCTCGACCTTGAGGGCAAGCTCCCATTGTAGGACTGTGTGTCGTTAAATTGCGGTTGGCGGAGGGTGTTGGAACATGTGTCGAAGCAGACGCCGCCGCTGCCTGCGAGGGCCGAGGCGGAGGCGACGAAGAGGCACAGTGCGGCGATGAGGGTGGGCGGGAGTAGCCGGAGCCCCGACGACGGAGCGCGCATATTCACGGCCGAGTTGCGGGTATTTGCATCGACAAAGCAAGCCGACCGTGGGGTGCGCGTTATGCCGATGCACGGGTCCCCGAAAAGGTCGCGATGATGCTGTTGATATGTCGTCGAGAGGTGAGGTTGCAGGAGGTAAAAGCTGAGGTTGCCCGGGCGGGGAGACCTCAGGACAAAAAAGTAAGGTGGAATTCGCTGAGTGCAGAAAGTGCGCTTGGGGCAGGTGGCAGGTGGGCAGGTGGGAGAATTTGATCTTATCAGATCATCTGATTAAGCAATCGCCCCACTTTACTGGCTTAGGTTATCGCGAGAACCCACCGGCATCGGCTCGCCGCGGCTGCAGCGTCACACTTGGATGTGGGCCGACACCACCTTGACCATCCATTTATAATTCACGTTTCGTGTGAGGCATTGCAAACGGTCTCCCTGTTCACAAGGCCTCTATGGAGTGGGCTATACCACCATCAACACTCCGCAGTCATCTTAACAGCACACAGAGCGGAAGGAGGGATTTCCTGAGCTTCAATGGCTTCCTTCATGCTAACTGAATAGGATAGAACTCAGTATGTTCTGGGAATCTCTTCTACGCACTACTAGAAAGATTTAGGTATTTCTCTGGACAGGTGCTTCGTACCTATGGGGACCTCAAGTCTGCTCCAGGAAGCAAATCGCTGAAGAAGCCACTGCATGAAGGACCAAGACCCTTGACAGACTGACCCAGACCGGGATTGGCTCGGCAGCGATCCGAAGCTGGGCAACCGACGCCGCCCCGAGTGCGGCAAATGCAGCTGTGGCGGATCCCATCAACGTCTGCCCGCAGGCCCCACTCCCGGTCAGGACCGGCCGCAGGTATCGGTGCAGCCGAATGAGGACCTCCGTATTCTTGCCAGAAGAGAACTTTGCGACCGCTTGTAAGAACATATCTTTTGCGCTGGGCCAGATTGTATGTGATAGTCTGGGCTTGATGCTGGCGGATGGCAACTGACACGCAGACTCAGGGTATTTTCCGAGGTCGTTCTGCAAGCATGCCATTCGAAAGAACCAGGGATGACCTCGTTTGATCAACCTCACCGCTTACGGGCGTTCCCCACTGCGGGCACAGCGGATTGATCTGGTCAACACTGCCAGACTGATCCCAGAGTAGGGTAGGTATCTATGCTGCTGGAGGTACCGATAAACTGTCACGATGGTATCACTGTTTCCTGACACCAATTGCTCCCATATGAACTCTCGACCCTAGATGCCCATAAATCCTCCTAGCAGCTCCAAAGACGACGTCAGTGGTCAAATGGATATAGATTGGCAAACTCGTCAACGTGTCCCGAATCACTCGACCCGGACCGCCCACTCGAAATCCACTTACGATGAGGCACAAGTTCGAACAAAAAAGAAACTCTGGGGCATTTCTCATGCTTCGAGCTCTTTCGGAAAGAAGATTGTTACAGTCTCTAACATCGGCAGGTTAAGTCTATCAGAGGGCTACGGTATTCAAGACGTTTATTGTAAATACCAGTTGTCGGCTTCATTGATGACACTCATGAGTGAATGCACGTGACAAAGGTTTCTCGTTCTAAAGCCATTCGACCAAGGCAGTTAGCACGTACCGCAGTAGTGGGGGATGCAGGGATCAGTCCGATGATGCCAATCAGGTCGGTGGACTTGGGCCATGGTGCTGAGCCATTCACGTGCACGCGATTGTGACTTAGCTCCCCAAGGATGATTAGTGCAGCGTCAGCTCTGATATCTGACATAAGCCGCTCATACTCATTTGTTTCCTACTGGCGGAATGAATCAAGAGGTTAACCATAATGGATCTTGTTCCTTGCTGACTGTATGAGCTTGACTTTAGCGAGGTGTAAGCCATTGGGCTCGGTAATGCACAGGTTCTAAGGCAAATATCTCTAAATAGAGATGAATTCCTCCTTTTCGTAGACAAATAACTTCTCAAATGTACCAGCAATCTGTCTTCGAGTCGTCATGTTGGGCACTCCACTGATTTACTCCGTAGCCATAGTGCTGCTCTGCTACATTATCTTTAACCGCATCCAACAACGACATAGGGGTCCATCGCCGCCTGGACCCAGAGGTTTGCCATTTCTCGGCAACATTTTGGATCTTCCCCCTTCCGGAACTCTTGAATGGGTACATTGGCAGAAACACAAGGAGCAATATGGCCCAATCACCTCAGTATCTGTGCTTGGCCAACGTTTCGTCATTCTCCATGACAAACAAGCCGTGCTTGACATGTTGGAGACACGCGCTCTGAAGAGTGCGTCGCGGCCTAAGCTGATTTTTGCTGGTGAGCTGTACGAGATTCACTTCCACGAGAATCGATTGTTGAACTAATGTGATTTTCCCAGAGTCGGTTATGGAGACATCATGGGCATGATGCCGTACAATAAGAAATTTCGATTGCATCGGAAACTTACGGCAACTCAAGTTAGTAAGAAGTCGATCATACGATTCGAACCGATCCAAGAGCGTGAAACTCTGCGGTTCTTGAAGCAAATATATGAAGACTCCAACAGCGATACCCTGCAAGGCCATTTGAACCAGTAAGCAGTTGTTGTTGTATACCTTACTCAAGAGTGGGGGGATGAATAAAACCTGACTTTGTAATCCAGGTTCGCGGGCTCTATCATGCTACGAATTCTCTACAATTACAGAACGGACCCGAAGAAAAACGACCCCATCGTGGACATGTCTAAGCAGGTAATGGAGGATTTCTCCAAAGCCACGAGCCCAGGTGCCTGGATGGTTGACTTGATCCCATGGCTAAAATACGTCCCGACTTGGATGCCGGGCGCGGGGTTCAAAAAGACGGCTGAAATCTTCCGACAACATCTGCTCCAGGGAATTGAGGTTCCCTACGACTACGTTAAGGAGCAAATGGCGAACGGAAACGATGATGTTTCGTACGTCGCTGGCTTGATCAAAGACCTTCATCGAAAGATTGACCCCGAGGAGAAAAGCGTTATCGGCTGGACAGCTGCATCTATGCTAAATGCAGGCACTGATACGACTGGCGCGATGCTGTACTCCATCTTTGCGGCCTTGGTCGTATACCCAGAAGTTCAAAAGAGAGCACAGGATGAGATTGACCGCGTGGTGGGCGACTCACGTCTTCCTTCATTCTCCGACAAAGACAGCCTCCCATATGTTCAGGCCATAGCGCAAGAGGCACTTCGCTGGCACACACTTGCACCCATGGGCTTCCCGCACTTGACTATGGAAGACGATACTTATAACGGCTATTTTATACCAAAGGACACGCTTTTGTTTCCTGCTGCTGCGTCGCTCATGCACGACCCCAACACATATCATGACCCAATGAAGTTCAAACCTGAGCGGTATTTCGAGCCGTTCAATGAACCTCCACCAACTGATGTTGTGTACGGATTCGGACGCAGAGCTTGTCCTGGAAGGTATATTGCCGACCAGACAATCTTTTTATGTATTGCGCAATTTTTGGCGGTTTTCAGCATTCAAAGAGCGGTGGACGAAGACGGACGGGAGATTGAGGTCAAATACGAACAGCTGCCAGGTGTGATTGCTCGTGTCAAACCTTTTCCGTACAGAATCGCGGTCAGGAGCGAGAAGCACCGACGCTTTGTCATATAAACTAGTACTTTCAACTTTCAATGATCTAGACTAATTGCCAAGTACCATGATCCTGCGAGGTTCAAAGCTGGCGAGGAGCAAACCCAGGAGCAAGATACGTGTCACACTTATCGACATGAATTCCTCGCCAAGGAACCCACCAATTCGTAACCTTGCCGTCATGCAACATACTTTGTCGACTTGTTCCGGTTGTCCAGGTCGTTACTCTTTGAGTGCACGCTGCAAGTGGGCGATTCCTCTCCGTGCATGTGTTGATTTGTCTTTGTTGCTTGGCGTATCCACCTGATGCTGCCTGCGCTGCGTTTATATCTCATCAACGGATCCCTCGCGTGCATCCCGCCGGCTGAGCTGCCTCTGGGCTCATTGCGGGACAAATCACTGTCACTGACACAAAAGGTAGTAGTAATACTGGTAGTCTATTACATTGAGTCGGGCACTAATTTTGGATGAGCATAGCTACTTCCAACTGACTTACAGCTTTGGCTGGCATTTCTGACTTTCAATCTGAGTCTCAACTTTGCGTTTCCGTGATCCTTTCCCAAAGCTACAGCATTGCACAAGCCGGTCGTATCACTCCTGGCGACTTCTCCGCTATCCAGCATAACAGAAGCTACCAGAGAGTCATTGACTGTTTTGGCCTCGCAGGTTGCCTGAATCATCATCAGTACGAGGCCAGACACAATCAGCAGCATGCCCGTCCCCATCCAGATGTACATTCGTTGCGAAGATACATGAGCTTCCAGAAGTACCACCGGTTTCCAAGCTGAAGTCTCGACACGCTGAGCTTTCACCGGGCTCAGGTATTCAGCCATCGCACTCCACCCGCCCTGGTAAGCTTGAATAAGTGAGTTTCGAAGAAATCCTTCCAAATTCCCCTGGAGTATTCCGGACTCATAGGAGCTGATAGCTACCACGAGGGATTGTATCTCAGGCATCATGGCGAAAACTTCGTTGACAAGGGGATCGGGTGATACAGTATCGTTGTCAGTGCTGAGAACGTTGGACGTCCATAGGCAAGTGGACCGTGGTGACCGGCTTAGGTCAGACTGGAAGCAATGCGTAACGCCTGCAGTGATTTCGAGCTTTGCAACAGCAATACAGTCGGAGAAGTTATTATTCCATGGTACATTGAGGAGATCAATGCGCTCAGGTAGGATGCCGAAGTTGCCTGAATCATGTGGGCATGTGTAGTTCTCTCTCTTCCCTTCGTTCCAGTTTCTGGATACGTAGATCGCTGCGTATTTTGTGCCCTTGAAAATGCTCGGATCTGGCAGCTTGTTCGTTGGCTGCGGTTTCCATGGAGATTCTTTGAGAAGCGCTGACGTACCAGCAATCACCTGCGTTAGAGGCGAATTGCCTTCCGAAATGGTGAGATAATTGCTTGAAGGGTTTTTGAGGGCTTCAGTGATATTGTTATTTAAGGTTCGGATGTCGCTAACCCACTCGAAAGAGTTCACTTCGAATGTGGGAACAATCGCGCTGCTGACCGCTGTCCCGTTGGGGTAAGAGTAAAGGCGGGGTATCATGCGGCGGGAAGGAGACGAAACCGGGAAGGCCTTGATCGGATTGCCAGTTGCTGCGGTCGGCCTTTCGGCTGTTACTGCCGCTGCTGCTGCTGCTACTGCTGCTGCTGCTAGATTTGCAGTCTCTGCAAAGTTGGCAAGACCTGCAGCACGTTGAACCACCATTTTACGATTGCTAGAGAACCTTATGTAGTGCTCCCAGTAATGTTCAACCGGTGGCATCGTACTGGTCCCTAATGACAGGGAAGTATTCAGCACGTCGTATGTGACCGATGGAACCCAGGCAATGGAGCCAGTGGCAACTGGGCCTGATAATTGGGCTGGCCAAGCAAGTAGCAGAACCAAAATGGCGCCAAGTTTCACGAGGCTATTTGAATGGCCAAATGACGATCTTGGCCGAGTAATAGAAAATGGCGGTAATTTCCAGGACGTCATATAGCTAGCTTCAGCGAGAGAGAGCCCGTATTTTTCGAAAAGGATAAACACACATCTCCAAGCTGATATGAGCTGCCATACAGTGCAGATCAACCTCCAGATGACCAGAAACGCTGAGATCAAGGTCATCACATCGGGTTGAGTGAGGCGACGAAGAAAGGAGATTGGATTCGAAGGAGTATCGGACGTGTTGCCACCGACGGCGAACGTTTTGCCGTCAAGAAAAGAGATCATGCCAAATGTGAAAGCCAGATTGAACAGCAAACAGAGACACAGAAGGTACCATTCTGATATTGGTTGAAGCCAGCTGCGCTTTGCATTCGTCTCGTGACACTTGTGGATCTTTACGAGTAGATGATTGGGTTCATGAAAAGAATCGGGGAGTGTTTCTCCCAAGAGACTTTGCTGCGAGGATTGGTTGTGTTCCATGGCGATGCGGTTGTTGATGTTTTTGGATCCGAGGACAGGCTTTCACTGGGAGCACGGGGTCTTTTATATAGTAACACCGAAAAAGCTCAGCAGACGCAAGGGGACCACCTTTTGCACAGTTGTAAGCCATCATGTGATTTCAGGCAATAAGATTGGTTGACGATGGTAAGTGTCCATGAATAGATACGCAGCCTTATGAGTGGAATGCAGGGGGTACAGCTGCATTGGATCCTGGCTCAAGTGATTCTTAGCGGTGGTGAAAGCTTAAGAAAAAGGCTGACTGGCTGAGACAGTCTCTAATGCATCTTCTATTAGTCTTGATAAGAGAAACGATGGTGAGGCTTTTCTTCACAATAAGTTACCGATAACGCACCTCAGCCGGCCTTGAAGCTTTCATGTAAACTTCCTTTGGCACATCGCCAGTGTCCTCCTCCCAACATTAAGATCAACCCAAGGTATTGGCATTGGAACTTCACTCAAACGTGCAAAGTAACGACTATCTCGCCCGTGAAAGCATGTGCTGCACTGCAGCACTTAGTCGTATCCGCCATCATTGACTGCACGAATTACACGTTCCTGGCTGATTAGAATATCAGAAAATACGCAATCGCGCGGGAAAAGTAAGGGTTGTGGCAACTCACTCAACACAGAATCAGACTACATGTAGCCTCGGCGAAGCTTGAAATGTAACAGTAATCTGTAGTGACGCCTCTGTGAACCATTCGTCACCGCGATGGCTTCTCGAATAGAATCAGGCAATGCTGTGAGGTTTCTCATCGAAATTCCAAATCGCGGCTTCAGATGGCTGAGTGAGACACTGCTTATGGCTTATGGGCGAAGATACGGTATCACATGCCATCGGCTGACCCGAGCATCTGGTGGCCATCCATCTCACCATGAGGTACTGGCTTCTGGAAATCAGTATGTCGATATTAGCTTCATGACTTTGAATATTATTGAGAGCTTCCAACCAATTAACTCAACAGGTAGTACATCATTGCTAGTTGTAGGAACTAACAAAATGTACAGTGAGGTTGGTCTTTGCCATGATAGCCGTCTCGACGATATCGTTAGGCACCTCTTGACAAGGCCCTAGCATCGTCACAATGACGACTCTTTTGAGATGGCAACTTCACCTTAAGTAGTTTCTCAAACTTCTGATTATTTTCAACTTGGCTTCATGTCTCGATATTCGATTCAGGAAAGCTTCTGAGTCTTTTCTCCGCATCTCCATCTCAGCTGAGCAGCGGCCAGCTGAACTTCAGCCGCAAGCCATGTCTTTGGCTGGGGTTTAGCGGTCTTTGCTGTCTGCACGTGTTTAGTGATGTTGTCCGCAATGCTCGAATCACTTGTCATTCTATCGGAACCTGATTTGAAGACATGTTTCTTTTGTCTTGCGCTAATTTTCAGCAGCCTGTAGCAAGCTGTAGCAACCAGCCGTAGTAGACATCGAATTCCTTATACTTTCAGCTTTCATTCACCTCTTCGACTCACTAATTGCTATGTTTCACCTCACTGCCCTCCCTCACTTCGCTGCTCTCCTTCACACCGTCGCACTTCTTGACCTCACTGCTTTCCTCCTTTCCTATGCTCTTCTTGACTTCATTGGCATCTGGAGTCAACGAGACGACCATGTCCCAGGCCGCTTGCAGTCTCGCGTTCACTTCGTCCGTCTGCTCCCCAGCCTTCAGGACACATCTAATTGCATCCGTCCAGAGGGCCCATACACCTAAACCCCATTTCTCTGTGTCCGTCTCCTTCATGTCCTCGTAGATGAGCTTTCCGGCATGAATCAACCAGTTCGACGCCACCAACAGCCTACATTCGCCGAGCTTTCCAGAAGGAAGTGGCTTCTCAAGCGCGAGCTCAATATCGACACCTGGCCATTTCATGTGATGCTTATATGGGGTATGCGCTTTGGAGCCTTGGAAACGAGCCAAGAAACAAGAATAGTTAACCCACTCATCGCAAGTGAGGATAAAATCCTTTTTTGCCTCGGGTTCGGTCGGTTCAGCTCGGTCGGATGCTTATCGAAACACTTAGAAAAGATGCCATGATGGTAAGGTAAGATGTTGGTTTGACTTACCAAACTTTGCATTCCACTTATCATCGGTCCTTTCACCCCAGACTGAATCATCATGGTATGCAATCCACTCTTTCTGTAGAAACCATGAGCGACGATTTCTGTGAAACAGGGGGACGGGTAGATGAAAAGAACAACGTACACCATAGCTCCGGTATGTCACCTTGGGCAAATTCTGCAAGTCCATAAGGAGGTGCACTAAGCAGTCTTGCCGAGGGTCGTCGTAACGCAACAGCCATGCCTGTTCGAGAATTGTCTCGTAAAAGCCATAAAGGTACATGCGCCAGCCTTTATCTTCTAACATGTAAGGCTTGTTGAGAGGATCGACGCTTGATGGGAGGTACTTGGCCCAGTAATCTGCTCCTATACGGAGTGAAGCTTCAAGAGTGGCCAAGTAACCCTTTTCAGGAAAAGCGAGAAGCATTTTGAGGATGATAGAAGCATATTCCGATTCTTGTTGGTCTCCCCAACTCTCCTGGATGGCAATTACCTCATCTAGAGCGGCTCTCCAAGGCTCGACGGGCGATGTTGCCTTGGGCTCTGTGTTGGTTGTGATGCTGACAACCGCCATAATGCTAAGTGTAATGCAGTCTGGAATTTCGCGATATATGATGCTTGATGCTTTGTGAAATGATATGATATTGCAATTGATTGAGAGTTGATGAAGAGTTGATGACTTGAAGTTTTGAAGACTGAGACGAGCCAACGGTTAAAAGATAAGACGGGAGAGGCAGCCTGGGGTTGTGAGTTCGTGAGGAGAAAATACACGCAACTTTGACCCGTTGGAAAGGTCACATCCTCACGTGGCCGGGGTTGCAAGTGGTCACGCATATTAAGCGCCGACCGTTGCACAGCCCACCCTGCGAGCGCATCGCCGAACCACCGTGCCGGTACCACGGCCTCACAGTCACAGCCAGGGTCCGAAACCTGCCGGGTCACCGAGCACACCGGCCAAACCAACACAAAATCTAAATTGATCAACAATCATTGGATCCTCAGCAACTTCTGAGCATGCATTTTCGGGGGCAGTCTTGTGAGTAGGTTGTTTTTTCACCCTCGTCAATTCATCAGTCGTTCGATGTTGGAAGGGGCCCTTTTTTCGCAACGGCCCAACCAACATGGAGGCTAAGCTGAGAAACAGTCATTGGATCGTCAACAACTTATCCACACAGCTTTTCAGCGGCAATGTTGGAACCAGGGTTGTTGTTCTCTCTCACGCTTCTCGGTCGATTGACCAGCGCTTCGCTCCACGCTTTCAACTCAACTTTGACCCCTAAGCTCATTGCCAATTGGTCGGCTGACGAGATTGCGAAAGTTGACCTTATCTATGTGATTACTTGGATGTTTGAGTTGTGGACTGCTTTGAGTGAAACGCTGTGATTCATCATTTGATGTTGGAAGAGAGCACTTTTTCTCGGCCCATTAACATCGCATTGCTAATTATGGCAAACGCCGTGTTTCCTGTAGATCTTGAGCCAAGAAGCTCAAAGTGTGCTTCACCTGTACTTAAGAGAGTAAGAAATATCCCATCTCATGGTCTTTCTTCTTTGTTCAGAGCATGAAAATCCCGGAGAAGTGGCCTTTTCTTTTCTGATTCTAGTCGAGTTGACGTATCGCATTGACCGCATCTTTTCAAACCTTGTAACCATTTTTCCCTTCTATATTTTGTCTCTATATTCCATCACGACCTTCAAATCGTCAGGATGGGCAACAAGCAATCTACACCGCAAAGACGCAACACGGACAACCCTGAGGAGCAACTTGTAGGTCTCGCAACCCAACAGCTTGGAGTCTGCACTGTACTTGAGACGATATGACAGATGGTTTTATGTTGTCTAAGTGCTCATTAGCTAACGTGTCGGCTCTAAACAGCAATATCATACACCTCGCGGCCCAGTTGCTGCAAAAGACTTGTCGGAACATCTTCAGAGCGTACCTCCGCCCGGCACACGCACTCGATCCCAATACCCTCATCCCTTCCGTGGTAGACAGGACTGGAACACAGAAGCAAAGACCTTTGACGACTACGTCACGGGCCCAGGTCGATCTCAGGGGCCAACCGGCCCCATGCAGGAGTACCCTATCCCTCAACCCGGCCAACAGTTTAATTTTCAGTACGACCGCCGCACCCAGCCAGCAGCTCAGGCAAACCGAGTACTTCATCACAATGAACGAGCAAACGTGATGGGGCCTGCCAATGGACAAGGCCCGAACGATCCCATGCAAACTCGGGCTGCTGTTCGCGTGGCGCAAGTAAGTGGCAAAGAGCAGATTGCTGTCGTTGGTGTCATGGCTCATCCGCCGGGGGACCCAAGAAAGCTGGTGCGAGCGCCACTTGAGCCCCTTGGCCGTGAGGGTCGGCAAGAGATGGCGCGGCACGCGGATGAACGTGGTCGCATCCAGACGTACCCACCCCGTGGTATAGACTCTCAAATCTATGCAGATGCCGAAACAAGATCTGGAAGGGTACGGCCGCCCGCTCATCCAGAGATGAGGTTGTGATGAGACCGGAACCCGTCGAATACATGACGATAGCAGTGTATATAAGCAGTGTATATGCATGCTAAGTCATTTAGACTGAGCTGGTTGTTAACCTGGTGGCATACTGAGGCTTCAAGTCTACCTTCCAGGCGGCACTTAGTGACAAAGATGCTTCAAGGAAGAGAGATTAGGAATCAGGTTCTTTCGGGTAATACAAGGCTTTTTTTACAACCTTAATTACAATTCTCAAGTCACTATCTCTCTCAGCCCGACCTATTGAGAAATATATGTAATTCGCTGTTACAACTGTATGCCCCTATGCCCAGAATCACTCATCGTCCATCATGCAGTATCCAAAAGACGAAAGACCAATATCTCAACTACCGCCCTATGATAGTTGGTAGCAAGCTCCAGCCTTGGGGCTGGTGAAAGACACCCCACTAGGGTGGTAGTTCTTGCCTCCCTTGTACGAGTCGCACCAGCTCTGCGGGACATTGGCGCAGTTGACCGATAGGTCGCCGTAAATGTCAGAGGAGCTGTAGACCTGTCCCTTTTGATCGTTTTGGCACGTGCGCTCGGCCCAGGTTTTGAACTGCTCGAAAGATCCGTCTCCCTTGGCTGAGATGGTGACCCAGTTGGCGGCCATCACCGGGGTGATGAGGGCGAGGAGGGAAAGCTTGACCATTTTCTAGTCTTTGTTAGTTGACAAGTTACTTTGTTTTTAATCGAAAGAGGACGAATGTATAAAAATGGCATACTTCTAGTTCTTGCTGTAGAAATTGCGTATTCGTATTGTTTTGGGAGAAAAAGCTTGAGTGCGGTGTCCGTCAGACTCCCGATACTCGCTACTACCAAACAGAAGCCATATTTATACGAGAATAACTTCAACCCCTTACGCTCCTGACTTCGGATATCGCGGACTGAACGAGCCTCGGAAACGCCTAGTAGCTTTTGGATTCAATAACTTCTAGAAAGTCAAATTAAATGAGTTGCGAGAGCGAGACCCACCTTACATGGGTTTCGGCACCCTCAGGATAGTTGCACTCGCAACTTGTTGAGTTATCAATGCGAAATGAAGGAGTATGCATTTCCAAGTCAACTAGACAACTAATTACTCAAGTAAGTATGTGAAGTCTATCTTTACATGAAGGAAGTCGCTGTTACGTATACTATAGTATGCTGTATTCGGGCTAATTGCCTTCCCTGGAAAGATCAGAGGTTCGAGTTCGTGAGACTATGACTCGTGCTTGGGTCGAACTTTGACCGGCTATGTAGACCGTGCCGAGCAGAAAATCACTGATCTCCATTTCTTGTAGGCTTTCCCGTTCTCCCCGGCTTAGATCGGTGATCAACAAAGCTTGTACTTTTACTGGGTATTCCGGCTAAAATTCCAAGCACATCTCTGTTCTCTGAGCAATCAGGCTATCGGACGGATGAAATGCCGCGTGCGCATATCATTGCTCAATTGGGGCCAAGAATTTATACTCCAGAAGTCTTAAGCCATTTTTACTTCCAACCAATAGCCCTAGCACAATCTTACCAACTTGATCTCTATCCGAGGGCAATTGTTATTGATCAGCTCCATCTTCTCATACGTTTCGTTGTCATCCGACAATTATGAACGGTAAAACTTAGGACTTGAGCCGCTACCTCAAGAAGTAGAGTACTATCCCATCATTCTTTTGTTCACACCGCCAATCAACTCGTGACGCTGAGGAGTGTCCTTGGACGTTGATAATCGCAATGATGCCAATCGTTGTATCGAACCTGCATTTCTCTGCACAACAGTAGTATAAATGACACCCGCTTAGTCCAGACTATAGCTGCTGCATCATGAGAAAAAAACCCAACTTATATTGACTGGAGATCTATATCACCAGACAGATTCTGATCTTACACCAAGTCCTCAAACCCGAGGGTAGCACCAGCAGTCGAAGTTGTTTCCCTGTCCATCTTTGGTTCTGACGCTGTTAGGAAATGAAAGCCAGGTGGAAGGAGTTTGAAAACTTACTGCAAGCACATAAACGACAATGACCCATTGCAATCAGACCATTCAAGACGTCAGTGCCTTTGTCAAGACTTGTATGTGATTACGACGGGAACGTACACTACAGAACTTGGCGCAGGCGTTCTTCTGAGAGTCGTATACGCATGTCTTGGACTGCAGTGAACACTCATGTCAGTATAAGGTAAGCTCAAAAGCAACATACAACGTGTCAACCATCCTTTACATACCCCAGACGGGGCACATGCATTATTGCCTGAGCAAGTGATTGTGGCAGAAGCCACGACTGCCAGGAGGGAGATAATAAAAACTTCAGAATGCATGTTATCAGATTTGTTCAAAACGTTCCGGGGGTGTGATCTGAAGAAAAGCGTGCCAACATTGCTCTGATGTACTTTTGGCGTCTGTCGTTTTCTCTTTTGCAATCTATGGGCCACTATCAGGATGCAAAAGGCGAAATATCTGATTTGTCAAGTCTACATCACTATCACCAATATGACTACATGACTCCGCCGGAATGACACTCAAACTGGAAATCAGCTGGCTCCACATACCGCATGAATGCTCCATTCACTTGTCAACATCACTCTCTCTCTCACCAGCTCTTACTAACATTCAGTCCATCGTGTTCTTTTTGTGGCATTTCTGCTAATGTCCGCAGTCCCAGAGCAATAACTTCATTGCATCTCAGCCTGTTGCTTTTCAATAGAAGACTCGGATCGCTTCAAGTGGTACGTTTTTTATCTCGGATTTCTGTGGATACAGAAACAGGAATCGCTGTCTTTGGGAATTTGCTTCTTATTTCCACCTAGATTGGCTCGCTGGGCCATTTGAAGTGTGATCAAGGCAAGGCTCATATGAGGTCGTCAGTGAATAGGTCTTCTAATTGACAATACGTATCTCCGAATCGAAGGAATTTTATCGAGTGACAATAGATCATGCTCTGTGCTTGCGTGACTGTGGACAATAAAGGCAGTTCAATCACTGGACAACATTCGTCCGCGGCTGAGTTGGCGCAGTTTTGAGCAATTTATGTAATTGTTCTTATCTAACTGCGAACTCTTGGTGTGCTACATGTGACTATCGACAGAGTCGCCTAAACCATGACTCTTTCTCCACATAGAATGAAGTGAACGTCCTGCCATGTGAGATCTGACCTCCTAGAAGTTGCGCTCCATCGAAGTCCAAGGAACAAGCCATTCCGTCTAGTTGCAGTCGTTGCAGTGCAACAGGCAGTTGGTCTGGCAGCCAGCGCGCTGGAGGGAAGACATGCGGTCAGGTCCGCCAAAGTCTTAGAGAAACTTTGAGTTAGCACCTTCGGACTTGATCGCTCGGCGGGAGTCTTCCAGCAACTTGATGATGCTACTTACTTTTGTGGCATTCGCCAGCGCACTTCGCGCAAGTTCCCTGGTAAGGGGCGGCACCACTGCATCCGGCCATGACGGCAGGGACGATGGCTGCGGCGATGAGGAGGATGGTCTTTGCGAACTGCATTGTAAAGGATGATTATGGGGTTGGTGAGGAAAGAGTTGATGTAGATGGATGGCTATGGGTGTGTTTGAATGTGATGATGTTGTAGTTGTGGTTGTTGATGTTGTAATCGAGTTCCTTCAACATCGCAAAGACACCTGCCTTTTATAATGCCCTCTAGACTGTCGATAACTTTCAAGGTCTGCTTTGTAGCCAATCATTTTCTCTAAAGCCGATGAACAGATTATCCGAGGCTGATTGAGAGAATTGAAGCCCTGATCCGACTTCACCAATCTCATGATGGAAGGAGCTTAGACATCGCCTCGCTCATTCTCTCGAAGCAGCGTAGCGCTTACAAGAGTGGATAGTCCGTGAAGGAGGCTGGTGCAAGCATTTAGAGTTATCAATCTCTCTGCGGGTTAGATGTGGGGACTCAGGCAGCGGCCCGCAATCCTTTTACCTTGTTCCTGCTCTAGGCATCGACGTTCTGCCGGGCTCGAATGGCTTGGCTCGCACTTCCTCGCACTCGAGCATCCCATCAGCCCGCCAATAACCGTTGATCTCTACTGAGACAGGTTGAGTTTAAAGCTTAAGCTATGTCTCTGGGGTTGGAAGGATTTTATTACGGGAAGAGATTATCACATCTTTTCTGGATATTTGGCTCAAGTCGTATCATTGAAGTAACCTAGCGTCTTGGCAGAGACAGTTCTAGCTTCTTTCATGTGTAAGCCATGGGCTATCATGAGGAGTATCTGAGGCTATGCGAGCTCCTGAAAATTTGAGGGCAAGCCCTTCGGCATAAAAAACTCAGTAATCTAAGGCTATCGACTGTTAAAGCCCTTTCCGTCTTCCCGTCCACTAAATCCAACCACCCTCGGTGACGTTCATGTCCCTGGCCGGACTTCTAGGTGGTCGAGGAGGAGGCCTACTCGCCCCTTCCAAAACACCAGAATCACCTCTCGATACGCTCTTTGATGGGCCGCCGTAATCATAAACAGACGACACAGGAACATTGATGGCCCCCGCATGGAACGGTATCATACTATCCCTCTTTCTCATGGGCGTCACGGGCCCGCCAATCGCAGCCTCGTGAGCCAGACGTTTCTTCTTCCTGGCTCGGTTCCAGATGAAGACTGTCACACCCAGCAAGATGCCAAGAAAGGCAAGTGCTCCGACGATAGCCCCTGTAATTGCAGCAGGCGAGGCTTCGCCAGAGGAACCGGATGTTTCCGAAGGGATTCCAGGTAGCAGAAGTCTCGTCTTTGTGGCGATGGTAACTCCAGCTGTGGGTTGTGATAGTTCGGCTGTTGTGGTCGTCTTGGCGTTGCCACTGGTTTTAGGTGAACCATCTTTCGTGGTGGCTGTCACTGTGGCCCCTGGTATGAAGGATTCTGCCATTAAAGTCCCGACACCGGAGACTGAGCTGCATTGTAAGAGTGTGTAAGTTGCAGTATTGTCAATCGAACGCCAAGTCCAGCAGTCCGTGTTAGGATCTGGCCCACTATCCGTTGTTAGTGGCTTCGATGAAATCTCAGTTGGGAAATCCTATATAAGATCGACTTACCAGCAGAGCTGGCCGGGCTCACATGCCCTCGGGGCTTTGGCTGTCTGCACGCAAGTCGTGGGTATGGGGCTGCCGCAGCCCATGTAGGACCTGGAGGAGATACAGTCCGCGGGTGGATTGATACAGGCATAGGGGATGGGCTCTTGAAAGAATCTGTGGACTTATTAGCTAATGTCGTTCGTCTGTCTTGCTTACTTGCGTGGCGTCGGAACGGGCCACTTCGGGGAAGGGATGCTTTACCCTAGAGTATTCGTCGCGAGCGGTATCCAACCGCATATCTCTTCCGCTGGCGCAACGACATTCTGGGAAACAATCGCGGCCATATTCGCGAAAAGATGAGGAAGAAGTCAATTTTGCATTGGAGAGGGGTAGTGATGAGAAATCAAGGGGGAGAGAGAAGCATCTCGCGACAACCGTTTTGTAGTTGTGGCAAGCGTAGTATGATTCACCGTTCGAGGCGAGCTCGATCGAAAAGGGCTTCAAGCAGTCGTGACTCCAGTGATTCACTGAAGCGAGTGATTTGGCGAGAAGTATCAGATGAATGATCAACATGTTTGATCAAGCTCGGTCAGCTCAATTACTAGCAAGAAATATTACCAGGCCCATGTGCTCGAGACTATCAGTCGAATGACAATCGCATCAACCCGAGTCGGCGGTGTCATTGCCTTCAATTCCCACGGGTATACCATAACCAATAACCATCATTACCAAGACAAAAACCACGCCGTAGCCTCGTCTACCCTCATCACCTTCCCATTCGCAACCAACATCACGGAGCCGTTGCTCAAGCTTGCTGTGGCGGCATGTGCATGCCCTCCTTCTGCGGTTGGTACCCTTGGACAATAGGCCCCGTCGACAGACGCGCCTGCACCTCCTTGTCCTGCTGGATGAGCGCGCAGCACCCGCACCAGTAGCTCACGCAGCAGTCGGAGCCGCCGGAGCCCTTGATACCGAAGCGCTCGCGGATCTCGCCGCGCTTCATCATGGCGTAGATCCAGCCGCAGCCGGTGAACCAGGTGATGCCGCACATGAGCAGGCAGTCTGTGTTGATGGCCTCGTACGTCTGCATTGTGGGGTCGCGCATGCGCTCTGAGGTCTTACCGAGGACTGTTGGGTGATGCGTATTAGTTAGGCCTCCTGGGTTTAGAACGTGGAGGAGAGAACTTACGCAAGCACGGGAGACAGGTTCCCACGATACAGGTATCACAAGGACCGCAGTCCATCAAGCTTGACTGCCATTCTTGGGTCTGGACATTGGCGCCTTGAACGTATTCTTGCTGCATTGTCTGCTGATGCTGGGGATGGGGCTGGTGCTGGTGCTGGAGCTGCTGCTGTTGAGGCTGTTGTTGCTCGTAGTACTGCTGCTGTTGCTGCTGCGGTTGCATTTGAGGCTGCATCTGGGGCTGCTGGTACTCCGCCTTGGGTTGCTGTGAGTAGTCCATGTTGACGGGTTGCGATGCTTGATACTGGTGCTAATAGGTGCTGAAGGTGACCGTTCGAGGGCGGAGGTTCCAGAAACAGGGAAACGTCGAAGAGAGCGTCGGAAAGCCAAAGAGCGAGGGTGAGGGATTCCGTGGTCTGATATACAGCAGCCAGTGGGCTTCATGTAAGACAAGGCGCGAGCAACGCTTCGACAAACGGGCTGATGGCTGAAGGCCTCAATACGGGTTGGACGAATGCAGACGGCCGATCACATCTCAAGAGTGGCCGCATTTGGTTTAACGGTAGGTGCCCAAGTAGTGGCTTAAGTCACCAGTGGTCACACAATAAAAGTACCTTGATCTCGTAGCTGAAAAAAAGTATGGGAATAAAAACAAGCTTCAATACAAATTACCTCGTCCCCAGTCCAGTCCACACATGCGCTAGTGTAGGCTGCTGCTAGACAACGCCAATAGGCGTTTTTGATGACTTTGAGACAGGGACGTGCTTCTCGCTCGGGGGAATGAGGCTTTGCTCATGTCAAGCACTTTTCTCCGGTTCTCTAACCATTCCTCTGGAGTCTGGCAGGCCCATGGAGTTCGTAGCCTTGGTAGCGTTTTGGAAGGAGAGATGAACATCCCCACAACTCCTTTACTCACCTGTCGTCTGCCTGAATCCTGTGCGTCCGAGCCATAGCAGGAACTTTGTAGCCGATCAGCGCCGGCGTAAGAAGAATATGTCAGACCATGATCCGTGAATCCATTACACACTCGGCGAGTCGGCATGCCCCTCGACCTCTCATTCCCCCCCTGTGGCTTGCTGGTCGAAGCGGTGATTGGAGACTTTGCTAACAGAGGCAGCAACCGGCTCATGCATCACGGCGGGGACGCTAGGCCCGACGATGTTGGATTGGCGTCCTAGGGCTGAGCTTGGCGGGCAAGGGGGATTTCGCGAGGCAGATTGAGGGCTGTGTTTGGCATTTCTTCTCCAAGTAAGGGGTATTGAGTTCACCTTCTTTCGTGTAGGTATATTTTCCCGAGACTGTGAGATTTGGAGCCGCTGACTGTTGGCACGTGGTGGAAAAGTGTGCAACATGAGAGACAGTGCCATTGATCGCAGTGCCTGTGGTCTTAACGCTTCGCTTCCTCCCTCCAAGTTGGGAAGAAATGCCTGCCGGGTGTGGTGTGGGCCGGGCCTCACTCCGTCGTGTTTCCAGTGAACGGGCTCTGGCAAAGACGGGGCCAACAATGATCGGCACAGCTAACGTAGGCAGACACAGCTCTGAGTTGATCCTAACCGTGGTGATCGAACATGAGTCGTGGAGAAAGGTGCGTGAGAACTTGAGCAGAAGGGTGAGTTGTTCAAGGCAAGGCTCAGCTCAGCTCCTCCAGCTCACTGCACTCGGATCCAATAGCTGCGATAATTCCGACGAATGGGTGGAAAAGGTCCCCCGATTTTAGGTTGGGATTTCCAGGCTGTCCCTGCAGTGGTCCCCTTTTTTAAGTCCCTTGCAAGTTCCTGTGGTTACACTCTCTGACCCCTGTCATTCCATCTCATCTTACCATTTTGAAGGGTCCCAAGGAAAGGAGTGAGACTTCCGATGGGGCTTTGTCAAGTGGGCTTCAGCTTCTATTCATGGCCTGACATTGCCCTAAGCTGACTTGCTTCACTGCTAGACCATTGGGTACATTGCTTGTCAAAATGGGCAGTCAGTGATACGCGACGATATAGCATCTCTCCATCCCGTAACGCTCGATGCTGTCTAGTACTTATGAATCTACATCGGGTTTGCCTATGTACACAGTCCGTCACCGAAGATGGATGGTTCTTGATGTCGGAGCAATCTCCGGCATATGGACTCAAAATACACATCACGCGTCTTCATTCACCGCACCACCCTCATCCAGATCTAACTTCCCCTCACCCTTCTTCTTATCACGAACCCTCTTACTCATGATGACATAATCCGGCACAAACACCTTGCCGAATCTCAACTTTCTCTCCACAGGCGACAGCGCATCAATCTCGAAGCCAAGCTTCTCATAGAACGCGCGGGCATCTGCGTTGGCGATGAAGCATGTCAACGTCACCTTTCCAATTATGGGAATGCTCTCCGCCACTTTTACGAGGTAATCCATAAGTGTACGACCCACGCCCGTGCTGCATCGTGTTCTAGTTAGCTTCTCTTCGCGGCATTGACAGTTGGAAGTGTGCGCTGCCGGCATGAGATCCCGATCCTCCTCCATGATGGTGCTGACAGCGCGATGGGCTGAGCCCCCCGCCTACCGGTCCCGCGCCGATTACCCTCCCCCGGGCTCATCCTTCGTGCAAGAAAACACGTAGGAAACGTCCTAAAACTCACCCTCGTAATTCCTCTAGGAGGTGGATCTCATAGCAGTATACCACAGCCTCACCCTCCTCAAAGGTAGGCATAAGACTCGTGAACCCACAAATCTTGTCCTCCGCAGCATTTCCGCACACCTCACTCTCGTCATTACCAGCGGTAGCTGCATCAGGTGCTGATGAACCCGACTTTTTGACGAGGATATATCGCAATCCTTCACTCTTCATCTCCCTCATCTTATGCGCCGGCCGCCACCCATCTTTTGAAGCGCGGTAATCGGCTCCACTGGTGTAGTCGATGAGATCGAAGCACGCTTTCAGCTCACTCTGTGCGAGCTGCGCCGGGGACTTGAGTGAGAGGGTGTACGATGTGCCGCTCTTGGGGTGCGTCCAATTCGTCCACTCGGAGCTGGCATCGTTGTGTGAGATGTGAGCACCCGTGAGAGGTTCGGAGCTATCTTGAGATATGCCTGCGTGGATGTGAGACGAACCTGGGCTGGAGATGGTCCCTGATAAACTCGGCATCGGATTTGCGGTTCGCTGCCTCGATGGGGTTCGTTGGGGCCCTGCGGCGCTTGCGGGGTGGTGCCATCTTCAGGTTGGAGACGGGGAAAATATGAAAGTCTCGTGGCGTATCTACAAGTCCAAGCGAAGAGAGAACGAAGGAAAAGTCAAGCTATGCAATCTTTAACTCCTAATTTGGGGACGAGGACTCGGTGTAAAGTGACAACCCAATTCCACAGACCTCTGTCTCCCGTCACCGAGACCCTTGCTGAGCACTGGCTTCAAGTCCCGAAGTTTCCCCGTCCTGACCTCATCCACTCCAAAAAGTTTCCACACTACAGCCCAGAGCACCAATTGGCTTTGAAAGCATGAAAGCGCAGCAGTCTCATTTGATATTGGTAAGTGAGAAACATCAACGTCTACTTGAGCCGAAACGTATTCAATCTCACACCCAATTCGCAGATGTAGTCGGAGCCTCCCATCCCTTGGCCCTAATGCCCTTCAAAAACCCCCTGTGGTCAATTGCCCGCAGCTACTCTACCCGGCCAGCAAGGTCGCGGCTCGGGAAGAAGGCCTTGAGCCTGGATCATGTAAGAACCATTGCCATCATACTCTCTCTTCATGTCACTTTTGCAGCTCTTCATATGAGAATAGCGGCCAAGAGTTTCAATCAATGACTGTGGAAAAATGTATAAGCACATGCTCACACTTTCCATAGTTCCTCCAGAGATCCCGCGTCATATCCCTCTACCGCGAAATCATCCGCGGCACACGGCGCATCGCCGACCCAAACACCCGCGCTGAGTCGAGACGGTACGCCCGCGATGAGTTCGAACGTCACCGAGATGTGACGGACCTTGTAAGCTCCCACGTCCCCTGCCCCTTTACCTCTCCTTCTTACGGGACTGACAATACTATGCTCCAGGGACACATCCGCTATCTCATCTCAACAGGTAAGACGGAGTGGCAGGGCATGGAACGATACGTCGACGGAATGTAAAGTTCTCATCATTGTAAAACCAGTAAAAAGGATCTTTGTATAATACACACCACAAAAGGTCTAACCCTCGCTGCAATTTGCTTCTATAGCTTGCAAGGTGCCCCGTGATGGAGGGGGATCTTTCTAAAAACTCCAGTGGGGCAATGGTATCGATCCCATGGACGTCTCTCAAAACTTGTCTACAGTCGCAACATCCTCACGTGCTGTCGCTCGCCCGATGCTCCATTTCTCTGAGCTTCCCCGGTCCCTCCTCTCTGTATGGTACAAGGTTTTCATACACACCACTTCGTTGATAGTCTCCCTCTCTGAACCCAGAACCGAAGAATCTCTCAAGATTGGCGTTGCTTGTGTCTGGGGTTCGCCTTGCAGATGACGTACAAGTATCCGTTATGTCTCTTGCCCGCCTTGCGTCTAACAATCTGTGGCGCATGAAGTTAGCAAAATGTCCATGCCAAAGCTCAGCTTCACAATGCGAATCCTCCTCTGGTCGTCCATCTGGATATCCTCAATTCCACCCCCCCCCCCCCCGAATCAACCTAGCCCATCCCCCAACGGCCTTCCCCCTCCCCCATAAACATGGAAAAAGCATAGGCTTACCTTGCAGTGCTCACACCTCTTCTTAACGGAGCTGTGCACCTTCATCCCCCTCGTCTGCTGCACCAAGGCATTCACCACGCCCGAGGCGCTCTTTCCGACCTGCGCGAGCATCGACTCGCTCTTTTGCGCCGGCTGCTTCGTCAGGATCGCCGTCGAGAGGGCGCGCGTCGCCGTGGTTGTGACAGCGGAGCTGGCGGCGCGGGGGATCGTTGCGCGGGCGGTGCTGAGGGTCAGGGCCCTGAGGGAGGCGGCGAGGGAGGAAGCCATTGTGTAGTCTTTTCTCGATTTTCCTGGTCGATGTGTCGTCGGGCGGATTGTGAGAGAGGAAAGGTCGGACAAGGTGGAAGTCGGGAGCTTGGGCTCTGGTGAGTTGGAAGTCTGATGGGTGCTGGAGCACGAGACTTGTCTATTGGGAGCTATCCGGAGCTACGAGGTCCGTATTTCGTGGTGAGGCGTGGAGCTTCACGATGCCGACTGCTCTGGTGGTGAAGGGGGCCTGGATGGCCTCAGTTGGAGCATTTTCGACGGCTTGGCGTTCATCACGTGGTGTCGATGTCCGTGCGCTTATCGGCACCAGAGCTCTTATCGCCCAGCTGCGGTATCGGATGAAAAGGTACCGATGATGGGATGACATTATTTTGAAAGTTGTGTGCAGCGAAGTACAGTCGACATGCAAGCAAACAAAATAGGTCATGTAAATATCCTCAATTGAGTTTGAATAGTCTATCTACAAGAGGCGGCTTTTCTTCTTCCCCGAGTTGCACAGGCATGCGTGATATCTCCCAATGTTCCGTTTTCTGTCACCCAAATATCTACAAAAACTCCCAGCGCCGTACGAAAATCAACCGAGTAAACGGGTTTTCCAAGCCTTCATTCCTCTAACTACGAAGGAAAGTCTTGAAGACGGCCGACTGGGTGCAGTCCTCCCACGGGTATCCAATCTCGGTCAAGAACGTCTCCAATTGATCAACCTCGTTGTCGGGGCAGAGAATGCCCGCCAAGATCTTACCCGTGTCACCACCGTAGTTACGGTAGTTAAACAGACTAATATTGAACTTGGGACGCAGGGTCATGAGGAATTTCTCCAAAGCGCCGGGCCGCTCAGGGAAGTTGAACATGTACAGGCGCTCGTTGGGCACGTTGGAGCGACCACCGACGAGGTACCGGATGTGGCTCTTGGCGAGCTCGTCGCCCGAGAGATCCGTCACCGACATGCCGTGCGACCGAATGCGCTCCAAGAGCATCTGCAGCTCCTGCGTTCTTTGCGATGCAGGGGCTGTCAGGGAAATACCAATAAGAACGTTGGCGACTTCGTCGGTCGCGTAGCGGTATGAGAACTCGGTCACCGAGTGGGGCATGATGCTGGTGATGAGGTTGGAGAAGGCGCCGGGCTTCTCGGGAATGCTGACCGCCAGCAGGGCCTCCTTACCCTCACCAAGGGTGGCGCGCTCAGCGACGAAACGCAGCCTGTCAAAGTTCATGTTGGCGCCAGAGGTGACAGCCACCATGGTCTTGCGGCGATCGCTCGGGTTCTGAGCGACGTATTTCTTGAGGCCGGCAATGGAAAGGGCGCCGGCGGGCTCGAGACCGGCGCGAGTGTCGTCGTACATGTCCTTGATGGCAGCGCAGACCTCGTCCGTGGTGACTTGGATGACCTCATCCACAACGTCCTTGCAGAGGCGGAACGTCTCCTCGCCGACGGTCTTGACGGCGGCACCGTCTGCAAAGAGGCCGACGCTGTCCAACACCACTCGCTCTCCCTTGGCCAAGGACTGGACCAGAGCGTTGGCGTCGTAGGTCTCAACACCAATGATCTTAACATGGGGCGCCATGCGCTTCACGTAGACACCGATTCCGGAGATGAGGCCACCACCTCCGACACAGCAAAAGATGGCATCGAGCTTGGACATGTTGATCTGGCCGAACAGCTCCATACCAATGGTTCCCTGGCCCGCAATGACGTACGGGTCGTCAAATGGCGGGATGTTGATCAGGCCGTCCTGCGCCGCTCTCCGGCCGCACTCCTCCTTGGCGGCATCGAAGTCGGCACCGTGCAAGACGACGTGTCCGCCCAGGCGCGCAACGTTCAGATGCTTGATGCTAGGTGTGGCTTCGGGCATGACGATGGTCGCGGGAATTTTGAGCTTGCGGGCCGAATAGGCGACGCCCTGAGCGTGGTTACCGGCGGAGCAACAGACGACGCCCTTCCAGCTAACGGCGGGGTCGAGGTGGGCCATCTTGTTGTAGGCGCCGCGCAGCTTGAAGCTGAAGACGGGCTGCTGGTCCTCGCGCTTGAGTAGAACATTGCACTCGAGTCGGTTGCTGAGGTTGACGGCGGGCTGGAGCGGTGTGACCTTGCAGGCTTCGTAGACGCGGGACGTCGCGGCGGCGATCATTCGGAGGTACTAGACGCGCACACAAATGTTTAGCGGTGGTCCCAATTGAGCCATTAGCATTGCCATTGGGGATTATTCTCACGTCTGGGTGGCCATCAGGCAGCAGAAAGTCCTCGGGAACAACACCCTTGATGCGGCTCCTTCTCTCCTCTGGCGGCGTGGACGGGTTGGCGCTGTACTCAGTCAAGGACATTCCGGCGGGCTGCGGTGTTCTTGGGCGCGGCGGGTGGTCGCCATTGACGCCATTGAGTGTTCCGTTGGTCATGACGGCGACAACGGGGGGCTCTGCGTTCTCTGACATTGTACTGATGTCTTGGGAAAGGTGTTTGTGAGAAGAAGAGGAGTCACTAAGACCGGGACAGAAGCAGAGGAATCGTCCAAGAAAGAGTCACGAACGGCGGGCCCCAACAACCTAATCAACGGGACCAGACCGGCCTGAATTAAACTGGAAATTTGTTCATAGTGGGGCAGATATCGGAGCGCAAGTCGGGCTCGCGGGGTAGAACATCAGACGGTTTTTCTTGCGGTGTGTTGGCCAGCGCTGCCGTCCACGCCCTGTCAGCAGCTTCTTTGGCGCTGGGGATTGGCTAACGCACCCTTGTACCTGCTGTAGCGTCAGCAAGGGCGTCGTGCTCCCCCTGCTGTCAGTGTCCATCACGCTGGGAGTTGAGGGCGACATCGCTGACACTGCAGACCGGGGTGTCTTATCGGGCATGGACTGTGCGTCACGCTATCTTATCCGATAACAGCGCGATACCTAATACACATTTTGATAAGAATCCGAGCTGCACAAAATGTGGCTGAAGAGAGAGCAACTTAAGCCACACCGCGCCGGCCGGGATTTGCCGCAAATCTGCTCAAGGGTCGAAGCTCTGGGCGCCGCGCAGCCAGTCCCCGAAAGTTAGGAGGGTCTCGGAGTCCATTTCATCATCGAACTCGCCGACTACTGCACCCTGGGGGAATAATCGCACGACCAATTCCCAACTCCACGATTGCGACTTCTTCAACCACCATAACGCCAATTGCAAACCGCCAAGATGCCCGGTCCAGACGGAAAACCCTCGTTGCTCGATCAACCTATGCCATCGTCTTTTGACGAGAACAAGTAAGCTAGCCCGCCCCCCACTGTCGGGCTCTACGGGAGCTGCACATCATCAATAGTCCAGGAATTGGAGGTTTGCTAACCCACGCACGCGACCCGCAGCGAATTCTACGATGAGCGCGTTCTTCACAAGGCCTTCCGCAAGCTCAAGGAGGAGCCTCTGATCCCCCTCGGTAAGCAATTGCTCTCACCACTGCCCCTCTCTCCCCCGGAAACCTGCTGCATCTAGCCATTCTAACCAGTGTCGCAACCACAGGATGTGGTCTGACCGTCTTCGCCTTCGTCAACGCTTGGCGCGCCACCCGCCGCGGCGATGCCAGACAAGCCAACAAGATGTTCCGCGCCCGTGTCGCCGCCCAGGGCTTCACCGTCTTCGCCATGCTCGCCGGTAGCATCTACTACAACAAGGACCGCGAACGCACCGCCGAGCTGCGCAAGATCAAGGAGGCCAAGGACGCCGAGGAGCAGCGCCAGCGCTGGATCCGCGAGCTCGAGGCCCGCGACGAGGAGGAGAAGGCGCTCAAGGCAAGGATGCTGCAGAGAAGGGCGAGGCTCGATGCCAAGAACGCCGGTGAAGATACGCCAGCTGAGGGAGAGCAAGGCAAGACCGGGGGCGTGCTCGGTGCGCTGGGCTTGTCGGCGTGGAAGAAGTCTGAGGACGGCGATGCTGCTGCGGGTGAGACGCCGGTTGAGGAGAAGCCGCAGAAGAAGGAGAACCCTAAGAGCTCGCTTGGTGCCATTGGCGAGATTTACGGCAGAAAGCCATCGTCGTCGGATGGGTCATCAGAAGAGCCCAAGAAATAAGGATGGACCAGGGCAAGATCGACACTCTGATTTGTATCACATCACGGCTACACTGTACAGTACTGGCATTGGCATCGACGCTTAGGACGAGCACATTGTCTCATTGAAGACTCCGCTCCGTCGTATATAAAACCGGGGGCGGCCGGCGGCGCATCTGGGTTGAATTGAATGGTTATCTAATATCTTGACAAAGGCAGGAGATGTGATCAGCCTTGGCGAAGCTGACCTGTCACTTGGCAGGCCAGTCCTCGTATACCTATCCTCAGAAACGAGCGGCATAAATCAGCACGCACGCTGCAGTTGACCGGCTGTTATGGGGCATTCCGGCGGGGTCATGGTTGACTCCGTGCAAGCTCCACGACGGCCTCAGCACCGACAGCATGGCCGTGAGGCGGGAGCAACGGAACCTAGCTCTCTTAGTTTTGGACTTACAACCCGGCTACGTGACTCTGTGCGTTTGTGGGCGGTCTAGAAATCTGAGGTTATCTGGACCGAAGATAAGCATTTCGTTAGAGGGCCAAACTCTGATAAACTTTGGGATGTTATTTGAACGCATTTCTCAAGGGCTCCTCGGTGTATATTGTCACAACACATCGCTACTACCTTAGTGTCTAAAGACGGAACCTGCCCGCCAGGTCTTGGAGATCTGAACAAGTACGCAAGAAAGTATACACCTCTTTTGTAAGAGAACCAATGTAATTCAGGTTGCCGTGCCTGAGTCTATACAGCCATGCAACACCAACTTGTCCAGCATCCTAGGTAGAGACCGAGTCAAGTGGGTGCTTCCTCACAATTTGGTCCCTTGATGAACGAATAGCACAACTTATTGCAGCATTAAATACACTTCCATGGTTAAAAGAGCGACGCCAAAGCGGCTGCGAAGATGGGCGTCGCTCTTTTGACCAGTCCAAGGATGCGCCAACTACATGTTCTACCATTGCTGCGACGATAACGGCATGCCCGGCGACTGAGCCACCAACATTATATGCCCCGGGAAGCTGGAGTCACTTACGGAATTGGGCGCGATATTGAATGAGTGCAACTAGTCCAAGACTTATCTCTTTCCGTATAGTGCTTTGGAAAATTGCGACATTAGGCGACGAAGCAAAGCTGCCGGCGCGACGGGGGCGGGCTCGAGCTGCAGAGACAAGGTTGAATAGGTGAATCAAAAAAGATCCAGCCTACTTGAGCTGTGTCTCGCAATACTCATTCGATTACTGAGAAACTTCGAGATTTGTGTATCCTTCAGCCTATTCCATTCTCAAGGCATATGCATCAGTTTGGTCCCATTCCTCTCATTAGTTGCGACGGGACATTTGCCGAGGAGCTGAACATACTTACACTAGAATCTTGAGTGCAGGCTGTAGGAGGACTTGGCTTTTGTCATTCCCTATGATAGTCATCGACCGACACTATTGATATGCCAAGGTGAGAGAGCAGGCATCCGCAAGTGTAAGTCAACTGAGGTGAGCTGTGTGCTGCATTTGATGACTAAAACTCGCATGGAGGGGCAGGGAGCTCGGGCCAGTGACAGTGACGTTAGCGGGGTTCCTCCACTGCTGGGGAACGACGGGAGACCCGCACTGGTCTGACACCCGCTGAAAGTCTAGGCGCTGAGCTGTGCTAACGCCGCCCGTCGCTTTGTCTCCTGATGGAGGATGCACCCCAGACATTGGGCCTTCCGTCATCAACCTTCGCATCCATGCTCCTCCTACTTCTCCCTCTCTCTCCTTCCTCCTCCTCTTTCGACATGGCCATGGCTAGTGATGATTGCGCCACAGCATACTGTACAATTCTAAACCTCGACTTCGATGCCTCTTGAACCGAAACACAAAGCTCATCATGGGACAAGCCCTGTCTGACGAGAACTCGCGGCAGGCGACGCACGAGGAGCTCACTCGTGAACTCGTAAGTCGCCGGGTGCACTACCCACCAAAACCCCACTGCACCCTTCGTCCTTGAACCAGATCAACCCATCATCTGTATAGTACTTACGCTGACCATCGATTACAACAGGCCACTCGGTTTGCCGAAAAGTGCTTCACCTCGCTCGAGCTATATTCGTTCAAAGATGTCTTCAAAAGCTTGGCAGATAACCAAGGCGATATCCGTTACTTGAAGGAAGACACACTCGCACGGTTCCTCGAAATACCCGATATCCTCCACGTCTCGCCTGTAATATTTCAGATGGTGTCCTACATCGGCGCCTTCCCCTTCTTGCAGGATGCTCCCGCGGTCCTCGGTATCGATCAGATGATCATGGTCATCGTTATCATGACGCAGAGACACAAACGGGTTCTGGCCAAGGGAGCTACGGATAGGGCCAAGCTCCTCTTCAAGAGTCTCGCAGTACACGATCGCAGGGCATCTGAAGCAGCAGCTGCTGCTGAGGACTCTAAAGAGGCGCCGCCAAACGAACCCAAGGCCTCAAGTCATGCGGTTGGCTTCGCAGTCGACGAACCTGTGGACGAACCCGAGGAAGACGACGACGATCTCGAGATTGCAGCCTTTGAGCTTCTCGATATCCACGATGCCGTTTGGCAGGGTGATGCGCCAAAGATGCAAGGGGCCATGATACCCGCGGATAACTTCCGCAAGCTGCTGATGCTACTGATCCTGATTGCACCGCTGAGTCCCCAGGAGAGTCTGTCAATGTACTCCACTCGGGTCACGGGCGACGAACTGGAAAGCCTGCGCGCTACCGCAGAGAACATTCTGGCTGCCTTCTTGAATGTCGAAAAAGCCCCTGGTATCAAGTTTGGTCACTTCAACCGAGTGCTCCCTGTTTGCTTCCCGAACCTCTTCAATGGGTTCAGCCCCCTATTTGAGCACTTCCTCTTCTCCAAGAACTTGGATTTCACAAAACACAAGGGTGAAGACCCCGTAGCCGCCGAAAAGCAGCCGGAGGAAGTCGTGCAACCTTTGCTGCAAGACACTGCGGAGATTCTCAACCTAAATGTCCTCTCACAACTATCCTTCTTCCTCCCAGGATCCGACCTGTTCAGAAGACTACGGCTTCTGTACTCCGGCAACGAAGACGGCTTCTCCACGGGAAGCTTCGAGAGCAAAGTCTTCAATTGGCGAGCACCCACCATCCTTCTGGTACGCGGCACTCGGCTGAATGACGCGCCTCACGGCAGTCAGGAGTCAAATTTTGCTGCCTCCATCCCTCCACGTCGCTTCCCGAACAGCGGCAAGGGAGAGCGCCTGACCTTCGGCGTTTATGTTAGTCAACCATGGAAGCACACTGCCAAGGAATGCTTTGGCGAGCGAGACACAGTGCTTTTCCAGCTGGAGCCCGTCCACGATGTGTTCCCAGCTTCCAAATACAACTCGGACTACATCGCCTTCACCAAGGCGCCTACTAATCGACCTATGCTCGGCGTCGGATGTCCCCATCCCCGACAGACGCAAGCTCACCGGAGGCAGACCATGCTGTCTCTCGGCGCCGTCTCCTTGCTACTCGACGACTCTTTCGAGTTTGGAGTGTTCACCCACGACTGGACCACTGGTGGCGGCGCATTCCAAACGAGCACGACGCGAAAGTTTGACTTTCAAGATCGGTTCGAGATTGAGAGCCTGGAAGTCTGGGGTTGCGGAGGGGACGAGGAGGCCAAGGTGCAGGCGGAGCACTGGGCTTGGGAGCATCGTGAGGCGGAAGCTCGGCGGAAGATCAATTTGGGCTCTGGTGACATTGAGGCTGATCGTGCGCTGCTTGAAATGGCTGGTCTCGTGGGCAACAACCAGAGTGGTGGCTCCATGATTTGAGTCTCGCACGAGTTGTTCTCCCAATTACCCTTCATGTGCATTGCTACTACTGGGACAACAAGTCATAAGTTTCAGGGTGCTCTAGATTAAGTGTTTATTGGTTTTGTAGCATAGGATTCCCACAGACTATCCCCGACAACGATGATTTTTCAGTTCACGATTCCTGTTGATGATAAGTCCTTCCAATTGTAATCATGTCCAAAACTTGAGCGTTATGTTGCCTTCAGCCACCATTCACCACCACCACCCTTAAAGAGACCCAGTGAAGCCTGTGAAGTCGCCTTGCTGGCGATGAAACGACAAGCCTCGAGAGAGCGGACGAGCGACGTCTGAATCGTCATTCATTTGACCTCATACGCTGCGATAGCCACCTCGAAGGCGTGGTTGATGCCCTGCCCCTTCCAGATATCGTAGTCTAGCAGAGACTGGTGGTGCGGATCTCTCAACTTGCTGCGCAAGGCACTGGCAGAGGCCTAGTAATGATGGTACACGTGATCAGCATCCCAGCGTCCCCATCATTCCACAGATACTTCGCAGTAGTGACTCAAAGCAGAAACTGGAATAGGAGCCTCACTCACCAACGCGGTATACTCGAGCTGCTTCAGGACGTTGTAAATCCTGTGGTTCGCGTACGACTGGTACTTTGACACGGGGGCCTTGGCCGTGATGAGGCGAAGGAGCTTCTTCATGGACGGGTGGTCGCGGCGCCAGGGGAGATGAGGCCACGAGTTGCCAGCCTCCTCGGGTCTGTCATTGTTGTTCTCGGGATGTCCTGGTGGCGGCGGCGGTGTGGTGGGTCTGGCGGGTTGGATTGTGACTGTGGTGGTGACGAGCTGCTCGTCGATGGCGCGGGGACGGTGGGCCATTGTGTTTGTTGGGAGGCCGATTGTCATGTTTGCTGTTGTTTGGGTGGGTAGGGCGGGGGCCGTCGTTGGGACGTGGGTGATTTGGAGTTCGCGGCCGGAGAACTGCGTTTTGTGAATACTTGTGATGGGGATGGATTAGGAGGGGGGAAGGGGGGAAAGCGGCTTACGTCTTGGTAGCATTTGAGGATGTCGAATTCATCTTCGTAGTGGAAGTGTGCGTTGACGAGGGCTTGTTCAATCTTCCAGAGGACCCATTCGATGTGACGGAGGCCGTCTAGAACAACCTGAGGTGGGGATGAGTGAGTTCTTCAGAAAGGAAATGATGAGGTCAAGGGAGTGGGAGAGAGTTGAGGAGGTAGTCAAGGT